ATTTTCTTTGGTTTTGCTTAAGTTGCCCTGTGATGTAAAAACTGGTAAATGCTCACACACACACTCCTCCCTCATCTAAATTCATTTCTACCTGTTTTGTTTTAAACTCCAGGCCAATAATAGTTAATTTCATGAGTTGCTTTTCATGTCTAGATTACTAACTCTGAACTTTTAATTTTTTGTCACACAGAGCTGAGAAAACTGAAGTCCTCAGTGAAGATCTATTACAGGTAACAAAATATAGTCTTTTTTAAAATGCCCTGTTCAAAGACATGAAAAGAAAAAAAAAATCTGTAGGTGAGAATTGAAGCTTGTGAGTTTGTTTTTCTTTAACCTTCAAGAGAATAAAATTAATTAGCATGGTTTTGATCAGGAAAGAATAGTAGTTGTGTTGCATGTGATAAAAAGGGCTTCTGAAACCCAGCTATCGGGGTTCAAATCCCAGGTCTGCTTCTAACTAGCTTTGTGGTCTCAGAGATTTACTTAACTTCCCTGTGCCTCACTTTCCACTTCTCTAAGCTAAGGGTGATGGTGGTATGCCCCTCATGGGATTGTTAGGAGGGTTTAATGTGTTAAATGTGGGAAACTCTGAGGATAGAGCCTGGTAGGTAGTGAGTGCTAGATATTAGCGACTTGTTATTACCACGACTACAAGCGCTGAGATTGCTGCTGATGTCAGACGTCTCTTGATTAGCTTTGATGTTCTCCTACCTCTTTTCTTAGTTAGATCTCTGCTGGAGCCGTTCAAAGGCTGCCTTTAATTTTGATTGTATGGAGTTTCCCCAGGAGGCTATGAATCCTAGGAGGCAGGAATCAGAATTTATTTACTGATATTTTTCTCTGTGAATACCTCACACAGGGGCTGCATAGACATATGTCTTTTCAAGAAAGAATAAATGAACACCTTCTGCTCCTGTAACAGGCAACATTATTAGGATAAAATCAGTGAACACAACAGACTTAGGCTCCCCTCCTTGTGGAGTTTACATCTAGTGGAATTTGGAATCAAAATTAAATTAAGAAGTTGTATTTGTTTGCATTTTGTTTTGCTCTTGTGGCAAATGAAGAATGTGTATTAGTTTTGTCCTGTTTTAAAATCTGGTCATTAGAAGATTTGGGGAAGGTGATGTAGTATCTGCTCCCAAGTATAAACTCACCAGGACTCAGATCTGAAGAAAAGGTGTTCTCTTGAGAAAGAGGCACAAACAATCCCATTGGTTACAATGTTTGGGGATCAAAATGTATTCTGCTTTGAATTTGTTGATTTTTCTTTAAAATAGAAAGCATCCCCAAGGGCCTGCTCTCATTCTCCGTGAGTCATCAGAATACACATTTTTGGCATTCCTTCCTGTAAAAAAGCAGCTGTCTTTGCCATAAACAGCCATATCCCAGCAATAGTATTTTGGGAAGCTACTTATGATGCCTGCGGTCCCCTAAGTTACTGTTTCTTACTGCTAGCTGTCCATTCTGCTTCAGAGGTTTATTTAAAAATAAAAATTAAAAAAAGAAACCTCCTTCAACCCAATAAGAAATAATTTTGAAAACACTGATTTTTTATTTTTTTTTTTTGAGACGGAGCCTCGAGCTATCCCCCTGGGTAGAGTGCCATGGCATCATGCTCACAGCAACCTCCAACTCCTGGGCTCAAGCGAGTCTCCTGCCTCAGCCTCCCAAGTAGCTGGGACCACAGGCGCCTGCCACAACGCCTGGCCATTTTTTGGTTGCAGCCATCATTGTTGTTTGCCAGGCCCGGGCTGGGGATTCGAACCTGCCACCTTGAGTGTATGTGGCTGACGCCTTAGCCACTTGAGCCACAGGCGCTGAGCCGAAAACACTGATCTTGAAGTTAAATTGTGGAACATTTATTTTAGTTCTTCTGTCTGATGTACTGCGTGTGGAAGGCTTCATTGCTGTGAGCTGGAGAGAATTGGGTATCCTTGTAGTTCTTCCCATTTGGCAATGGATCTGAACCTGGACCAGTTCATTTGCGGTTCTGCTTGGTTGGACCTGGGGCCTTGCTGGTGCTTGTTGCATATAATTGGACTACCTCCACTCAGTCTGATGGGGAGTTTTAGTTAAAACTGTCCCCTCTCCCTGCATGTACATTCAGCCTTGCAGGGATCTAAAATCCTCAGTAGTCCGTAGTTCTCAACCAGGATGATCTTTCTCGCTTGGGGATATTTGACAATATCTGGAGAATTTTTGGTTTTCACAACTGGGAGAGTGGGATACTACTGGCACCTAGTGGGTAGAGGTCAGAAATGCTGCTAAACGTCCCTCAGTGTGTAGAATAGCACCCCATAACCCAGAATTATCCAGCCCCAAATGTCATTCATGAGAACGCCTGGTATAGGTGAATGAGAACCATTTCCATTTATCCTCAAGTGTTAAAAAGTTAAGACTACAAGATGCTTTTTCTGCTACATGCAAACGCCACAAAAGGGAGAGGCCACGCTTGTTACTAAGACCTGCAAATCACACTTTTGTCTCTGCCTTGTCAGATTGAACGGCGCCTGGACACAGTGCGGTCCATGTGTCACCAATCCCATAAGCGCCTGATGGCGTGCTTCCAGGGCCAGCATGGCACTGATGCGGAGAGAAGACACGTGAGTATCAGATGCAACTCCAACCCACCCTTCCTGCTTATCTCTGAGGCTTTTCATCCCCATGATTGGTTGGTTTTTCCCAAGCAGCATCAGCAGATTTGCGTTTGGATTGGTACCTCCTATAACCAGGCACTCTCATCACACCTACCTGACTACAACAATTTAGTGCTTAACACATCACTGGGCTGAAAGCCCTGTTCCCACTGAATCTTCTCCAGGTGCTTTTAAGGGCTCAGTGAGCCATTTGTCATTGATAAGGAAAGGGACATGTCATTTAGGCATCCTTTGATGGCAGAAAGCTGGAAGCCTGTCTTAAATTGCCTTAGCAAGTAGAAGTAATGTTTTGGTTTGCTGTCTATTTGAGAAGTCCAGAGGTTGGGAGAGACTTGAATTAAGACTTGATCTATGGCTTGGTGCCCGTAGCTCTGTGGTAGTGCAACAGCCACGTATACTGAGGCAGACAGGTTTGAACCTGGCCCAGGCTAGCTAAACAACAATGACAACTGCAACAAAAAAATAGCCAGGAGTTGTGGCAGATGCCTGGAGTCTCAACTATTTGAGAGGCTGAGGCAAGAGAATTGCTTGAGCCCAAGAGTTGGAGGTTGCTATGAGCTGTGACACCATAGCACTCTACCGAAGGTAACATAGTGAGACTTTGTCTCAAAAAAAAAAGACTTGATCTAGCATTTCAGTAATATAACCATATCTCCACTTTCTTTCCATCTCTCCCTTTTGCTGCCTTCAGTGTTTGCGTTACCCCTAGACAGGCACCCGTTATGGTTACGGTGCACTTGTGCAAGCCCTTGGCTACCAATAGCTTTCATCATGCATCTTATATGTCCAGTGGGAGTAGAGGGCATCTATTCCAGTAGTTTTCCTAAAAGAGGAAGAAAACTTAGTAGTATACTACTAAGCCCTTGGCAGGTAGAAATCCCTTTCCATTGTGTCAGTCTATCTCAAGTCACATTTTCCATTCCTGACCATTCCTGTTCCACCCCACTTACCATGTGTAGGGGTGATGTTGTGCTGATTGTCTTAAGTTGGGTGGGCCCAGCCATACAGCATGGGCTATCGTCCTGCCTTCAAGTTATAGGCTTTAAAGAGGCTATGGCAGATCCCTAAGAAAAACCAGAATATGGTTACAGAGAGCAAGAAGGGTGGATTCTGGAAAAGTCATCCAGTGTCTACTCCAAGGTACCTTTGTTCAGAGCATTCAGGTTCTCAGGTACCTCCAGTAGCGCATAGCAGCCTTCATCCATCAGGCAGTTCTGTCCTTACTTCTACAAGTTCCTAGCGTATAAACGTACACTACCCCTTAGAGCCTGTGTCACATTAAAGTGACAGTTTCATTGGCACACTGGGAACCTACAATTTGCGATGTTGTTTTGTTTGTCACCAGGTTATATCAAAGAAAGAATGAGTGTGTATATGATTTATTTTCCTCTTCTATTTAATGCATTTCCTATGGACATTTTGGGACATCTTGACAACAGGGTTATTCCTCTCTTGCACAATGGTTAGGATTCTGAAGTGATGTGTAGCACGGGGGTGGAAGTTTGCATACTCCTACACTGCAGGAATGCTTGCTGCTGTGTCCCGTCCCTCGGAACCAGGCCCAGTCTGCTGGTTCTGCCCCCGCAGCTCCTTGTTCTCTTGCCATGGCTTCTGCTCTGCTGACCCTTTTCATATTGTTTCCTAAACTTCTGTGCTTCTCCTTCTTACTCCTGAAGTCATATATTCTGAAGTCACCTTTCTTCTCATGACTTCTAATTGATATGTTTGTGCCAGTGACTCCTAAACTGCTTTCAGTCAAGCAAAATGCTTCCTCCCCCGGTTGTCTTTTCTAGCACGTATAACCAGTTCCTCCTTCTGCATTGACTCTTTTGAATTCCATCCATCCTATTATGCAAGCTGGAAAGTTATTTTGTATTTTATTTTACCATCTTCCTTCCCATAGATGCCTGATTAGCAAGCTCTGTAATTTTTCTCTGTGAATCTTTTAAATTCCTCCCCTCTACTCCATCTCCACTACCTTGGCCTTAATGCAAGGTCTGATTGCCTCTGCCTAGGCTGTTGTAATCACCTCCTGAGCTACATACATTTCCTGTCTCTAGTTTGCCTTCTTTCTGATCTGTCTTCAATTTGATCACCAGAAGCAATTTCCTGAAATACAAATCAATCCTGTTATCCTCCTGTCTTTAAAAAAAAAAAAAAACTTAGTGGTTCCTAACAAGTACCAGAATTACACCTTTGGGGATATTTGGAAATGTGTAAAGACAGTTAGGGAAGGGGTGAAGCAAGATGGTGAACAAGAAGGATCATTCAGCTGAGCTTTCCTAGAACGATTGGGGAAAAGAGAGAACCTAGCTATACCTGACACTGGCACCTTACCCAGAGTCAGAACTGAGAGGGCACAGCGAGGAGATGGTGAGCTGGACACAGCATATGATCCAGAGCAGTGGAAATCTGATGACTTAGACAAGTGATTGTGACTGGCTGGGATTGGCTGCCCCCCACAGAGGTCTGGGATGAGAAGACTTTCCAGAGTTTTTAGTTGTTAGGGGAAGTTGCGAATTGAGTGGGCAGCTTGGGAGAGTGGGTGGACTTAAACCACCCACTCTGGTGGACAGCAACCAGATTTGAATGCTGGTTGAAATGGATTTGTTATAGGCTTGGTGGCTGATGACAGGCAGCCAGGGGACTGCCATTGTGGGAAGGTCTTAAGAATGTCTTAGCAGGGGCCTAAAGTACAGCTGTCTTATTCTGCCTGCCAGGATCAAAACTCTACTCTTGGGACAGGCTGAGGGACTCCTGCACCCTACAGGATCTAGAGTCAGGGGGTACTGTGAGACCTGCCCCTGAAGGATTCTTATTAGCTTTAAGATGCCAACCTTGCAGGGTCTGAATGCTGAGGAAACAATCAGGTGATAACTGAAGCCAACTAAGTTTGGAATAAACACCATAGAGATTGCTGGCTGTGCTGTCTTCTAAAAACACCACAGCACCACCTGGTGTCCGGGCGACATATTGCAGCATCCTATCATCAAGAGCAGGGACTTCTGTTTGAAACAAAGTGAGAAGGAAAAACGAGGGCAAGGAGGTGAAGAAGAGGAAAGAACATGAGTAGACCAACAGAAAAATTCAGGCAACATGAAAAACTAAAGCAGAGGACCTCCTCCAAGGGACCATGAGGGAGCTACTGCAGAAGACTCCACCAATAAAGAATTAATGGTCTTGACAGAAAGGGAATTTAAAATATGGATGAGAGGCTCCATGCCTGTAGGACAGTGGTTACTGCAGTGGCCACATGCACCAAGGTTGGCAAGTTTGAACCCAGCCTGCACCAGCTAAAACAACAATGACAACTGCAACAAAAAAATAGCCAGGCACTGTGGCAGGTGCCTATAGTTCCAGCTTCTTGGAAGACAGAAGCAAGAGAATCACTTACACCCAAGAGTTTGAGGTGGTTGTGAGCTGTGATGCCATGGCACTTTACCCACGGTGACAGTTTGAGACTGTGTCTCAAAAAATAAATTAAATCAATAAATAAAATATGGGCTCGGCCCTGTAGCTCAGCAGCTAGGGCGCCAGCCACATACACCAAAGCTGGTGGATTCAAATCCAGCCTGGGCCTGCCAAACAATGACAACTATAACCAAAAAATAGCCAGGCATTGTGGCTACTTGGGAGGCTGAGGTAAGAGAATCATTTAAGCCCAAGAGTTAGAGATTGCTGTAAACTGTGACGCCACGGCACTCTACCAAGGGCAACATAGTGAGACTCTGTCTCAAAAATAAAATAAAATAAGATGATAAAGACAAAAGGAATGGAAAATGAAAAGACAGAACCAAAAGTCAGATGAGAGATATGTAGAAAATAGAACTATGGGCTCGGCGCCTATAGCTCAACCGGCTAAGGCACCAGCCACGTACACCTAAGGTGGCGGGTTCAAATCCCCAGCCCGGACCCACCAAACAACAATGACGGCTGCAACCAAAAAATAGCCGGGCGTTGTGGCGGGCGCCTGTGGTCCCAGCTATTTGGGAGGCGGAGGCAGGAGACTCGCTTGAGCCCAGGAGTTGGAGGTTGCTGTGAGCTGTAATGCCACGGCACTCTACCCAGGGGGACAGCTTAAGGCTCTGTCTCAAAAAAAAAAAAATAGAACTATGATTTAATAATAATAATAATAATAAAAGAAAATAGATAAGGATATGGCAGAGCTTAAGAAAATGAAGGATACAATCAGGAAATGTAAAGATGCAGTAGAAAGTATCAAAAATAAGTTAGACCATGGAAAAGAAAGAAACTCAGAGCTAGAGGATAAAGTTTTTGAGTTACACTAGGTAGTTGAAGAGGTAGAAAAGAAGGGAGAGAAAGCAGAGCAGGCTCTTAGAGCACTATGAGACTCCATGAAGCATTCTAATATACAAATAATAGGGATTCCTAAAGGGGAAGAAGATTGTCCCAAAGGAATGGGAGCTGTACCGGAGACTATCATAAATGAAAACTTCACAATTTTTACAAAAGACCCCAACACACTCATTTCAGATGGATATCGCCCCTGGGTCATCTCAACTCAAACAGAGCCTCTCCAAAACAGATTGTAATGAACCTGTCCAAAGTCAAGAAGAAAGAAAAAATTCTGCAAGCAGCCAGGAGTAAGCCCCAACTGACCTATAGAGGCAGAGCCATTAGAATGAGCGCAGACTTTGTAACTGAAACTTTCCAAGCCAGAAGAGCTTAGTCATCCACCTTCAACATTCTTAAACAAAACTATTTTCAGCCCAGAATTCTGTATCCTGCTACACTAAGGTTCAAAATTAATGAGGAAATCAAATCTTTTGTGGATATACAAGTACTGAAGATATTTAAGGCCAGCTCTCCAGGAAATACTTAAGAGCTTCACAATGCTAACCGCAAGCAAAGTAAACACCCAGAAGCTAAAGGTCAAAACATAGCTTCTATAGTGACGCAAAGGGTAAAACTGCACAACAGACTCA